TTGGTGAAAAATAAGTAGGAATCGAAGAAATGGGTGAGGTAGTTGTGAGTAGTGAAGGTGATTTGGAGGTTATAGGAGGGGGAGATATGGTTATTGAAACAGAGGCTGGTGGAAATATGAAGGAAACAGGGGCTGGAGCTGCTGTTGCAGCAGCATCTTCTTCAGTCTTGAAATGGGAAAGATTTTTGCCTAAAATGGTTTTTAGAGTTTTGTTGGTGGAATCAGATGATTCTACAAGACAGATTGTTGCTGCTCTTCTTAGGAAATGCAGTTACAGAGGTTAGTGTTTCGCTTTTTTTCTGAAATTGCAACAGTTTCTTTGAATTTCCTCTTTTTGAGTTTGCTAGTTAGTTGTGGCTTAATAGTGATTTTCTGTCGTGTAAAAAGATTGAAACTTTGAATTGGGTTTGAGTTATTCAAGCTGGTAAATGTGTTGATTCGAATAATATTGGAATTGCGTGATAGTTTTCTTGATAAATTGCCATGAGGATCTGTTTTTGTCAGTTCTAGTGTTGAATTTTTTCCGACTACTGGGAAATTGGGGCTTTGCTTGTATGTTTCTCCCCATTTAGGACAAAGTTAGGCAGAGTATTGAAGAATTAAGTTTGAGTTTGGAAATTTCAGGTAGATTTACTAATCCGGCTAGATTTTCGGAATATATATGTTCGGATTCTTTTCAATTGAGGGTTAAGATTACTCTAATATTCAGGATTTTGGATTTGAAGTTGGTTTGCTTAAGAAATTTCTTTTGTATCACATCTTGAAATTATAGAATCTCTAATTTTCTGTATAAGACAAAATATGTAGTATTAGAATGAAATGAACCTGAATAGAGCTGACGGTGTAGTTGATTGGTAGCATAACCCTGGAAATTACATCTTTTTCCTGTTAATAACAACCATTTTTGGAGTACAGTCTGCTTATTTGAAAGTGGTAATTACTGTGGAACACTTTATTGTTAATGTATTGGTTAATGAATGAGTCTTTTTAAGCATAAGAATGAAATGGGAGAAGATAGAATTGGACATTCTAGCAATTTTTATTGATGGAGATCCATGTCCATGACCTAACAGTTTGGTAAATTGAGGATATGTTGCTGAACTTTATGGGTACAATTTTATATCCGACTTCTTATCTTCTCGTATGGGAAAGAATAAAGAAAGGAAGGAATAACTTAGAACATTTGATCTGCTTCTGATATTCTGACATATCAAAACGAAAATATATATATATATATATATATATAATGGGCCTTTGAATCCTTTGGTTGTGATGATAAGCAATTTACTCTCCATCCCTGCTTCAGCAATGCATGAGACATACTGAAGGGAGGAAAACAAATTATGTAATCAAGACCTGTTTCCTTTGTTAGGATTTTGACGTTTTAAACATTTTGTTTGTGCAGTCGCTGCAGTTTCTGATGGTCTAAAGGCATGGGAGTTGTTGAAAGGCAGACCTCACAATGTTGACCTCATCTTGACAGAAGTTGACCTGCCATCAATTTCTGGATATGCTTTTCTTTCCTTGATTATGGAGCACGATATTTGCAAGAACATTCCTGTAATAAGTATGTTGCTTCCTTCATCCAGCTATTGTTGCAGAAAATGTTGGTCAGCATGTCAATTTACTCATAATAGAACTTCTTTTTAATCTACAGTGATGTCCTCAAACGACTCTGTTAGTACGGTTTATAGATGCATGCTGAGAGGTGCAGCAGACTTTCTTGTCAAGCCAGTTAGGAAGAATGAATTAAAGAACCTGTGGCAGCATGTCTGGAGGAGACGAGCTGTAAGCATAATCCTAACTTGTTTCATTTGTTTTCTTAAACATCCTATCTGAACTTTGCGCCTATCAACTACATATTAACTATTTTGTCCTATCAGGCAAGTGGTAGTTCCCAGGGGCCTGTTGCTGAAAGTGTTGCACAACAAAAAGTTGAGGTCACAGCTGAAAACAATGCTTGCAGCAACCATTCAAGTGGTTATAAGGCTTGCGTTCAGAGAAACCGGGAATGCATTGAGAAAGGAAGTGATGCTCAGGTAATATATATTACCCTTCATGAAATTCTTTTTGGACAAAAAATGCTTTATTTGTGTGAAAATGTTCGTTTAGTTTCCAATAGATGAAATTCTTTATGAGATGTCTGCTTTATAGTTTCTAGCAAGTGAGATCTGTAACCGCTTTTTCTGTTATGTAGAGCTCCTGCACAAAGCCAGAGTTGGAGAATGAAGAAGAGAATGCAGAAAACTTACCGGAATCTGTTCAACCAAATAGGGATGCATCTCCTCCAAATGCTGCAGATTTGGTGAAGGAACTACTTCATGAAGCAAACAATAGATTGAGAATTTCCGAGAATGATGCTAGAGGTAAAATTCTTCTGACCATCTTATGATTCTGAAAGCAGGTCCGGTCTGTTGATTTCTTGAAGTAGTGTCACTTGAAATGAAAAGTCTGTTGAATCAGTTAGGAGTACCTGTACTGGTTCTGAACTTCTAACGTTTTCTGTCATACAAATTGGTGCAGCTCCCATAACAGATGCAAATGCAATGACCACGGGAGAAGATATAAATTCTGATGATAGCTGGGGTCATGGGCGTACAATTGGTCAAACTTCTGATGAACATCCTGGTCCTCCAACTAAACAAGCAATTGACTTGATTGGAGCATTTGATAATTACCTCAAATGTAATTCCAAAAGTTCTGGTTCCGACACTAGGATTAACAAGGGTGATTCTTCTCCATTACTGGATCTTTCATTGACAAGGTCCCATCCAAGTGGTTCGGTAAATCAGTTTACAAATGAGAAGCGCAGATTGAACCATTCTGATGCTTCAGCCTTCACGCGGTAAGTTTTCAGTTTCTAATCTATTCTTTTACATGGTTTGATGTAGCATTAATTTTAGAATAAAGTGATGAATAGGAAGTGCCTCCAGGCTCCATCTTTGTATTTTGAATTGTTGAAAGCCTCACTACCAACACATGAAATTTTGAGAGAATGAAATACAACGACAATAAATTATTTTTCATTTGTCTACCTTGTAAGATGTGAGATCTATCAAGATAACAGAACTAAAAATAGACTCCTGAAATAACTTGGTTGTAAGACGAATTACTTGAGGCATTTCATCCTTGAATTTGAGCCTTTTAACTTGTGAAACTTTATTATCTAAGATTATAGAGTGGGAGTGTCGTTCTGAATTCTATAAGATGATCTGTGTTAATCTGATGCACCCTTTTCAAACCAATGAAGTTTTGCATCTAATGATAAGGAAAATGCTCCTGCAGGTATGTGAACAGGGCAATGCAGTCTGGACAGTCAACGTCGTCTAGGACTTATAATCTACAGGAATATGAAACTGATTCTGATAAGCAGTTTTGTGGCCATGCAATTGATTACAACTCAGACACCCGTGGTCCGATTACTAGACCTCAAAGTGTTGCCCTTCCTAACTACGGTGAACCAGGACCAGCTGAAATGGGACTTCCTTCTCCTCAGCAGAGAGCGACGCCACTCCCTATACCAGTGAGAGGCATCAGATTTGAGGGACCAAGCAGTGCTTACAGCTCCATGATTGCTCCAATTCTTCGCATGCCATCTGGCATTTCACCATTGCAGAGTCCAGGTTCGGCTACCCCTCAGGAATCTTCCTATCAGGCGAATCCATTCCTTACATTAAATTGTGAAAGTAGGAGCTCTCAGAAATTGCACTCACAGAGTGATCAAAACAACAGTGATTCGACAGCTTACAATGAGGGTAAGAGAGGGCACACATCTGAACCTACAACTGATTGTGAACGTTTTCCCTCTGCAACTGATCAAACTATAAATAGTATTTGCTGCAATGGTGATCTAAACCATGTTCATCTGAGTTATGGAAGCAATGGAAACATCTCACTTCCACTAGGCAGAACACCGGCAGAGTATAGGAAAGAAGAAAGCCTTCACACTCCTGATGGGAACTCTCATCAATCTCAAAGAGAAGCAGCTCTTACAAAATTTCGCATGAAGCGGAAAGAGAGATGCTTTGAAAAGAAGGTATATGTCAGCTCCATAATTTTTCTATCAAAAGTTCGTCTGTATTTGACGTATCATTATCTTCACCTTGAAATTATCTGGTGGCAGACTCATCTTGAAAATTCTCACTAAAGAACAAAAGATCCTGTAAGGCATAACATTTCCCCTCTAAATTAACCAGTGGAAAGGAAAATAAGATATCAACAAGACACACTGGTAAACAGCAAAGCCAGATAAATAGAACTAATTTTTAATAACAGTTGTTAAAGTCCACTGGCCAATTTATGAATAATCATTTTAGAGCAAATGTATTTTACTTTCAATGGATTGTTCTGTCATTGCTCATCAATCATTTTCTTTTGTGATTTGCTCTCAGGTACGATACGAAAGCAGGAAAAAACTCGCTGAACAGCGTCCCAGAGTTAAAGGACAGTTTGTTCGTCATGTTCCTAGTGAGTCTTCGCCAGGTAACTCATAGGCAGATTCGCAATATAGGATCACAAATTCATCCAACGAAAGGAGGAAGCAGAAAAAATATAAGTGGTGTCAAACGACTTGTGATTCTGTCCTTCCAAAGGTCGAGGAACGAACAAGAGGATGACCAAGTGTTTATGATGCTGAGGTCACTCACTTACAATCTAGTGAGGAATTCTCTACATTTTTGTGAAGGAGGGCAGCCCTGCCTTTTGTTTGCGATGTCAAATACGTATGGTACATCTCTCAGTTAACATATAGGTTAGAAACGTCCAAATACGAATTTTTATATTCATGACTAGGATCAATTCACCTCTCTTGTTATAGTTGGTGAGATGATCAAATCCTTTTTCCGGTTTGTAAATTATTGGAGTCTTTTTGCTGTACTTCTCTCGATCAGACCACGACTAGTTCTAGGCCTATGTACAGACTTTTAACAGAGATTTTCTGGTTATTATTTTCGTTTCTGTTTATAGAAGACATTTGTTGTTGCAACATTGTTACATATATAGTCAAGTAATTGTTTCTTTCTCATGAGTCATGATCAAAGTGATGCATACTGCCAGTCTTCTTCACACTCTCTGAGGCTCTCCGAGTCTTTCTTTCCATTTCTGTTTTACCCATGCTTTAGCATAGGAGTGTTTGTAACAGTAACAAATATCAATGTGTATAGAATGTTAACCGTTTCCATAGTCTCGATCATTTCTACTAAACGTGGCATGCTCGAGTTCTCTCTAGAAAGAGGACTTCCAAGAAACAAAAACAAAATAAGGCAGCAAGTACAAGCCTGAGTTGAAAAAAACAGTTAGTAGCATTTAAGTGGAAGGAAAGTAAAAAAGAAAAAGAGGGGGAGCTAAGAGCTTGAGTGGCCTTAAATTATGGTAAAAAGAAATGGGCCATGGATGTTGATACCTGATAAACCAAAAACTACAAAAGCTTGACAACAACTAGATTCCCGGTTTTATATCCTGCCATATGCGTGCAGCCAAAGACCCTCTGCTTTATTGCCTGCAAAAGTTGATTTGGATGTTGTCTATTATTAATGTTTATGATATACTCAATAGTTTTTCCCACTTCCTCCAACTACTTTTACTCGTTCACTCGTCTAGATCAAGACCTTATTATTAACTATAGTCATTTTCCAAAGCATATAATATATTTGATATAGTAAAATTATCTCTATTTGTTGTTCCTTAAAACGTGTGTCAAGTCAATACTAAACAAAAAATAAATAAACAGAGAGAGTAACTATGTAGTATTACTTCTCCTTCCCATATTACTTGTTCAATTTCTCTTTTACACGTCTCTTAAGAAATCATAAATAAGAAAGATATTTCTTAATAATCGAGTAAACCCTTGTCCTGAGATGTAAATGGAACAGGGGAGGGAAAACAGTTGCGTGAAATTTTGCACAACAGAAATGAGAAGCAAAAAGAAATAGCAAGAGATTTGACATTTTGACACACAACCTGGGCATGATGAAGAAACTAGGCATAAAGCAAAACACAAAGTTGAGGGCAATATAATATCAGTGGACCTGTCCCCTGTCTTTATCAAAGTAAAATGAGATAGCAAAGAGAAAGTTTCACTTGTTACAAAAGAGTAATGATGATGGGCTACACTCAAACTCAACTTTATCTGAAAGACCTCCATAACTGAATTAATCAAAAAAATAATACTACTAGTAATTAAAAGCAATCAATTAGTTACCCGCTGTTTTCAAATTAAGGATGGCACACTTTTAACTATAAACAACATTATTTCAATTGCTTACTACCTACTCTACATCTATCTACAGCTTTTGTATTTTAGTTTTTCTTTCCAGTGGTGATAACTCAACATCTTACTCGTAAGACTATACTAATATATTCCTTGTGTTAATAATCAAATGTCTACGTAGCAAAATTGCAAATTGACCCTTAAATATGAAAACAAGAGAAGAAAAAACAAAACGGTGGGTGGGAAGTTTCCTTAAGGCAGAAGTAACATGATGAGCTATAATATAAGCAACTTTTTTTTTCACCATAAACTCGATTGAGTAGAAGTTACTACTATTTTCACTAATGAGAGTTCGAAATATTAAAAGTAAACATATAAAAAAATTAATTAAAAAATATTTAATATCTATTATATATACGTAAAAAATAATTTTAATTAATTATATATATATATATAATGTAATTTTAATTATTTTTTTTGCCCTAGGGGCTAGGGGTGGACAGAGTTTGGTACAATCTGAAGTTTAAACCTTTTCAGGTATTTGATATGAATTTTTGGATTATAAATTGACCTTCGATTTTATTTTTAGAAAGTTCAACTGATCACTACGTATATATTGTAAATATGCCATTAGAAATAATTCAATCAATAGAAATCAGACTTATCATGATTCCAAATAGAAATATTTAAAATCATTTTCCTTTATTTGAAAGGAGGAAAAAAAAGAGGTAACATTTATATCTAAATATTAATTTGAATTGATATGAGTCTCAATGACAATGATTAAGATTGACAACTTATAATATATTATAGAATACACACGATTCCATGAAAATATTTATTTTTATGATTGTTCATTTTGAATATTCAATTTAAATAAGTTGTATCTTTGCTCAGACCAATAAACAGAGTTGAGGTTATAATTATTGTCCCTAATAGAAAATCGAAATAACTAATTATGACTTGTATTGTTTGTAACTACTAATCTAGATAAAATGAAAAAATTTCTATGAACAAATAAGTTTGATACACAACATAATCGAGCAAAGTAACCTCAATCCTTGTTAATAGTAGGAAACTATATAACAGAGCAAACTATTAGGCGAGTTGAGATTGTTAATTGTTATAATCTGCCCTATAAATCAAAAAAGTCAATCTAAAATCAAATTTAAAAAATTTAATCTAATTTGGGATTATTTGAATTGAAATTAGATTATAATTTCTTCAATTCAAAAATTCAAACTAAATGGCCCGAACACCCACCCCTAACCTGCCCCCATGGACTTGGAAAAAGTCCATTTCTAATTAGATTCTTCATGTTTTCCTCTTCTTTTCAACTTTTAATTTCCATGGACCAGAGCTCAATCAATGAAATGTTTTTCCATATTATGACTTTATTTTATTTATACAATGTAGTGATTTACACGGAAAAGCATGTCTATAATTTAATTAACAAAAATCCCTGATATTGTTTTGTCGAATTATATCAACCATCAACGGTCTTCGTAAACTTCATTTAAACACTTAAATTATAGTTATTCAATTGAGTACCTAAGCACGTGAATAAAATATTCTTATTAAATACTTTTGTCTCAAATTTAAGAAAAAAATATATTTTGCGTGTGTTCACCTATTTTTATTATATTTAAATAGACTAAAAAGAAATTAGTACAAACGAATTAAAATGATGAAAGTAAAATCTTTGTAGCCCTGAGGAGGAGTCGAAGTCAGGGCATTGTGGCATATAGTTTATCATTTTAATGAGTGCAATCATTACACACTTTAAAAAAAGGCTACCTCTTTTTTTCAATAATGCTAAAAGTTGTAATGAAGATTCCGTCTCACATAGATATATATCCCTAATTTCTTCCAAATCAACCATCAATTTGATATATGATACTAAAAGATTCAAGCTAAAAAGCATGTACCATATATAACAAAGTGCATGCATATTCATCATCGATACAAAAATAATAATATCTCACTTTCCTACCCTATCCTACAGAAAGCCAATTGGCTTCTATATCACGCATTGCACGCATGTTATATATATAGAATTTTTTTATTTTACATCTTTTAACAGTAAGTCTAGTAGCTCACTAATTAAAATACTGTGAAACTAGACACTCTCCATCTCAATTTAGACTGGAAAAAACTATTTTCCTATCATTGTAAGTATCACATAGTATGTAATTTTTGTCCATCAAAAGCTTACACTGTTACACATACCAAAAGATTGCTAGAACTTGAATCCTAATTATACAATTTTCCATAATTTTCATCTCATTTTATTAATCATGCTATAAATAAATAAATAAAAAATTAGCATCAATTTAAAGCAGAATTAAGATAGATTTTCAATTAAAAGTAATCAACATACACTATTAAAAAATGAAAATTAGTGTCAGACAACAAAGTATGTCGTTCATCTTATTCAATTTCACAATGAGTTATCAAAAAATTCTACTTATTAGCTACGAACTAAATAATTTAGTAATGATAACAACAGAAGTAAATTTAAAACTCTAGGTGAACATTTTCAATAACTAAACAACCTAATGACTTCACCAAAAGGTAAATAAAGGAAAAAGACTACTTTCCTTTGATATCATTGCACTTAATTAGTCAATACCCCATGCAAAAGTAGCCACTAAAAAGCAGCCAAAAGACAAAATAATTATAAACTTCTACTTCTAACACCACTTCTTCTTGTATACTATATATAATAATAATAACCTCTTCATTTCATTTCATTTCCTTAGCATTGTAAACTTGCCTTTCTTTATTTTCTTGCTTAGCAGATGTCTCCAATTGATGTAAAATCCCCAAAACACTGTGAAGAAAAAGGCTTCAAAGTAGAAAATCTATTCCCAAAAAAGAAGTTATTCTTTTGCTTCTCAACAATTTCCCTCTCTATTCTCTCATTCATCTTTCTTCTTTACCTCACACTTCATCCTACAAAACCAAATTTCACATTAAGAGAAGCTGATATTTATCAACTCAATCTCTCAGGTCCACGCCAACTGCTTAACTCGTCTATACAACTCACCCTCGTATCGAAAAATCCAAATAAGAAAGTTGGAATTTACTACGATGAATTGCAAGTGTTTGCTTCTTATAAAGGACAACAAATTACTCTTCATACTTCTCTTCCTCCATTTTATCAAGGCCATGAAGATAGTAATTTTTTATCGGCTTTGTTGATTGGGAATGGATTGCCAGTGGATCCTTATTTTGGTTATGAGGTGCAACGTGACCAAAGTGTTGGAAAACTGATTATGAATTTGAAAGGAAGTGGTAGGTTGAGATGGAAAGTTGGAACTTGGGTTTCTGGGAAGTATAGGTTTAATGTTGATTGTGTTGCTATTATGCCTTTTGGATCTTCCTTGCCATCTGCTCCGCTTAGTTTTAGACAAGGAGCGCAATGTTCTACCACTCTTTGAATTAAATATTACTAGAAATAATTAATTAAAGCCCTTCCTCACATAGGGAGTATATTGTTCTTCTTTTAATTTCATATATATTTTGTATGATTATACTATTGTAAATTATCTTTTGATGAAAGGTACTTGAGTATACATCCGCCAAATTAAACTAATCGCGTTGGGTCTATTGTACACCATATATATTTGCAACTTTTGTTATCATAAATTATATTGATGAGAAATATAAAAGCTTTGTTAATTTCATGCAAATATTTTGTAACAGTCTAGTACTACGAATAATGAAGATTAAGTGCGAGTTTAGGATAATCGAGTCTTAAAGGGCGTTAATCTTATCTTGAAAGTTGTGTCCCTTTGATTGTAGATGGAATTAAAGATTAACGAAATAATTTGTAGTGACAGAAGCAAGTGGATGATCTAGCTGATATGACTCCACATACTGACGAGTTAATGAGAAACTAATGCAGCGTCTTCTTTATAGGAGTATCTTTTAGGAGTTATTTTATACTATTAAGACCTATACATTATATTTTGTTTACACTAAACTTGTACGAACCAAACGGCTTTTGAAAAACTTAAAAGCGACAGGATACTATACATCTTTTTGTACTTATATATTATTGGTTTTCGAAAAATTCTGTGGTTATAAAAAGACAAATACTAGGATAACAAGGGAAGACACCAAACATTGATTGATCTTTATATTGGTTTCCGTGCCAGCTCGCCATCGCATGGGCACCTCAACTATTATTACATTCCAGGCTCCCACCAAAGCAAATACTTAGGAAGATGAAAAGAAATGTACTTATGTTTTCTAAAAAATTTGGACCTTACCTCACATGGTTTTTCACTCACTTTATTGGCGCTAAGCCACACCCTTGGGCTTCATACTACAGTTTTATGACCCACACACACACTGTTAATTAAAACATCAAGATAAGATGGTTTCAGAGCAACAATCGCTAATTTTCCAGCACGTTCCGGTGTAGTTCGACCAATCTTTCTCTAATGCTTGACCAGTAAATTCCCGAGCCGTAGACGAGTTGTAAGACCCTAAAAAGGGGGAAAAGCATTTGCTTCCTTCTAACCTCTATTCGGTTTCTGATTGGATAAAATTTACTCGTATTGATGGGATCATTTAACCAACTTAAACTGCCAATGACAAACCTCTTGCTCTCATCACATATGTCTTTGCCATTTAATTTGCAGAGCAACTCGCTCAATACCAATCCAGAATATATATATATATATATATATATACAGGGGAGAAAATCCTCCATGTAACAATTCTGAAGGCAAGTTGAGCTCATATCAACACAATTATATGAGTATGACTCCTCCTTAAGCACCATAGAGAACTTCAAAATTGGAGGGAACGCCTCAAGTTTACCAGTTCTTCCTCACCTAAGCAAAACATTGAGAGTTACCGCTCAGACCTCTCACTCTAATTACTTCTGCTTGTAAAAACCCGCTTGACAATTCATTTGTGATCAAATTCCTGATCTCTCCAATTAATGGAAGCAAATTTTTCCAAAGTTTTTGAACTCAAATGTGATAAGCATCAGATACAGTACAAATATTAACTACACAAACGTTAAATTTCAAAGATGTAGTAACAAGGTAAGAGGAGGAGAGTGAACGTTGAAGGGTCACAATAATGTGAGGGAATTTGAGAATCCAACTAAAAACTTAATGATCTTTATAAAACCATGTTAATGCACTAGTATATCTGATGAAAATGAAAGATTTTCTAATGTAAACTGAAGATAGGCTGAAAACTGGGCTGAAGCAAAGAGAACGCGTTAACAAACAGAAGAGTGGGATTAGAGCAGAGAAACAAGGAACTTGATAGGTTAAGGAGTGTCCGTGGAGAGTAAAGTTAGTGGCTTAATGAACTGAATTGAGACTGATCGCGGGGCAGCAGCAGCCCGATTGACTAAGTTTAGAGAAAAAGCTTAGAGCAATGTAAATAGAAAGATGAGAAGAGAAGGAAACCATAACAATTAGGACTTGATTTACATGGTTCACAATAACTCATCCTTGCTTTCACCAAATTCCTTCCAGTTGTACCCAGCCCCACAAAAACAATAAAACAAAAAACTCGTAGCTAGGAATATAGGAAAGATGTCACAGAGTCAGCCTAGCATTTTGGGAATATAGAGCAGGAGAAACATTTGGAGGGATCTGAACAAACTACAGTGAAATTCAATATAATTAAGGGCTTTATTTAAATTGGCTTCTATGTTTCCAATCCTCTGCATGTTTCGTAGCAGGGAGTAAAGAAATTTTTATATCATGAATGAAGAGAACTTGCTCCAAAGCACTACAAACACTAGGTAATTGTGGCATCTTCAGCAATGAGAATGTTCATGAGTTGGGTATTTCAACTTGATCACCACATTTTAAGGCCATTAGAGGCCCCTACAGAACCCTAAACCCTTAAAATTGGTATCAATTACAGCAACTAAAAGGAATTTCAAAGGCCTAACTAATTTTGAATTCTTTCATACACATTGCCAACATTATCTACTTTTATGCTAATTAAGCCACAAAAGGCTGGTGACAAGGATTCTTTCTTTCCAATTTCTTTCCTCCCTAATTCCAGCCTTCCTCCACCTCTATGGTGTTAACCATACCTCTTTCTCTAAGTAGGTAAATATTGTTAATACATGGAGTGCGCCTATCATCCCCTCTACCCTACTCCACTTAGATACTAGGCTTACTGGCTTATAAGCTCGAACTTGTGAGTTGTGATGTAAGTCACAAGTCTCTCACCAACCAATATTAGATGTAAAAGCATAGGAGTATCATCTATCCTATCACTCAACAGTGTCGCCAGAATTAGACTCTAGTGTAGTTTTTAAAAGAGGCCACTAGAGGCCTACAGAACCATAAACCCTTAAATTGGTGTCAATTACAGAAACTAAACGGAATTCAAAAATCCTAACTAATTTAAAATTCTTTTTTTTTTTTTGACAATTCATAAGTAGTATTCTTCAGCATTGAGGGAATGCTGGCCAGCATCAAACTAACTAATTTAAAATTCCTTCATACACATTGCCAACATTATCTACTTTAATGCTAATTAAGCCACTAAACTAAATCCACAAAAAGCTGGTGACAAAGGATTCTTTCTTTCCCATTTCTTTTCTCCCTAATTCCAGCCTTTCTCCACCTCTATGGTGTCAACCATACCTCTTTCTCAAGTAGGTAAATATTGCTAATACGGTGTGCGCATACCAGCACATCTACCCTACTCCACTTAAATACCAGGCTTACCGGCATAGTTCGCATGGCGCAAGGCTCGAACTTGTGAGTTGTGATGTAAGTAACAAGTCCCTCAAGAAGCTTATATTAAATGTAAAAGCATAGAAGTATCACTAATCCCATCATTCAACAGTGTCACCAGAATTAGGCTCTACTGTAGTTTTTTCATGAAAGAACAATAATAATAACAATAGTTTGAGCTAGTTTATGCATGACTCAAATATTTCCATTGGGTACATGCATCAGCCCACCAAGACATGTAATCGAATAACTCAGACCACCAAAACTTGGGAAGATGAAAAGAAATAAACTAATCATGTTTGCCTCTGTGTAACTCGAACTTTGGAACTGATTTTTGGTTTTGATTCCTTAAACAAGGAGTGACATTGAAATTGAAACAGATATTCTGCAGTTAAAACCCTGAACATGAAATCACATTTAGCTTAAAAGCCCCCAGCTGCCTGAAGCTACAGCCAATTAGCCATCCCCTCAATTGGCAAGCTCAAAATGGAAAGTCATTACATTATTTGGCACCTAACCAAAATAAAATAAATGGTTTTGACGGTAAAGGATAACCTAACCAAAAGATCAAGTGGTAGGAAACAAGGTTCGCCCAGATATAACAAAGCAAACATGTTGTATTTAAGATGTTAATTATCAAGTTATTCCCACTTGGAAGCACCATAAGTATAATGTAATTGAATTTCAAATGACATCCTGTTCTTCTCAGAAGTCAGGACAAGACAAGAAGCTTTCGCTGTTAGAAAGATCGAGAAAGATATACACGCAGTAAATATTAAATCCTCAATACCTGAGATGAATATTAACATGAATAGAAAGCTAAATCAAGCAATTCTTCTATGTAACTGTATCTAAATATCCTATAAAGTATAAAGACACTCAACCGCAAGTCTCAGGGAAGCCATCTTTATTATTGAACCATGTATGTAGTAGTCAAAAATTCAATCTTGGAAGGACAAGAGCTCAAACTCACCTCCCACACCATCGATCACAACGAATCAGCATCAACCCACTTCCAGTAATGCTTTTTACATGAAACTGCACCATCTGCGACCATCCTCTCACTAGAATCTCCATATTCATCAGTCTCTTCTGTGCAAAACTCCTCCTCAGGCAAACCATCCACTGCAGCCTCCACTGTATGCAACACATAACAAGCAGGCAATCCAGGATACGACGCCGAAACCCTTTCCTCCACCTTCTTCGAATACGAATTGGGCAAAATCTTAACAATGCCATTCTCTCTGAGCTCACCAAAAGACCCACCAAGCACTGAACCAAGCTCTTCTTTCACAGCCCGAAAAACCGCATCTTCAACTGTCTCACCAGGCTTCATCTTCTCCGACAACGGCCTACACCTATGCCTAACAGCACCATCCGACAATTCTTGGTGCGATTCAACAAGGACTTTATTGTCTTTTCCAATAACCTTAACAACCATAACCTCAACAGTTCGAACCGGCGGCGTAGAATCAGCCAGCAAAGTCTCCCCTTCAGACAACTCAAGCCAGAGATTACTAACATTCTTGGTTCCCGGCTTAACCCCCCAAGCAGCAAAAGAATCAGAAGGCATACGTGGCCTTAGCCAATCGGAGAGTGATTGGGGATTGGGGAAGTGATGAATAGGGTTACGAAGATTACTGGAAGATGGGTTTGACATAGTGGGAATTCTGAGAAATCTACGGGGGTTTAAAGGGAAAGAAACAAGAGGGGTGAATTTACGGAGAAGGGAAGTAGTGGGGTTTGAAGAAGAGAAGATAACGAAGAGAGAAAAGGCAGTGAAGATAACGTCAGGGAAGGAAGTGGGTTTCTTGTGGAGATGCGGTGGTTGTGGTGGCTGAGAAGACATATCAAGTAGTTTCAGTGAATATTGTGAAGAAGATAAGGAATTGGTGAGGTTCCATTGATAGGATTGAAAGAGAAGAAGAATTAGAGGTTGAGATGTATTCTTCTTTTCCCAATTGGCATCTAAAATCTCTTCAACTTTGACTTTTGCTTGTACACAATTTTTATGAGTGGCGTGTGGTTGCTAAAAACCCGAAATTAGTATTTTGATTTGACATGAATTTTAAAATAATAAATTAATCAATTAACATTTGTAGTTTTAAATTTAAGTTGTTAAAACGGAAAAGATTGACGCATGCATGATTTGAATGATAAATTTACAAAAAAAATAATTTATAGGAGACGGGATAGAGCTATTAAAAAAAGATAGAGTAAATGAAAAAAGAGAAATTTTCGCATATAGCCACTAAAAATAGCCTAATTACTCTCCATATTTATAGTTTGTTAATTACGATTTGTAGCTACATGTTATAGGGAAGAGAGTGGCGAGCCAGATTGGGAGAGGGAGGAGAGAGGCGAGCGAGAGAGGAGAGAGTGGGAGAGATCGGTTAGATAATTGTATATTATACATATGTATTTGTATATATGGCAAGCGAGATTGGAAGAGGGAGGAGAGAGGTGAGCGAGATTCGGAGAGTAAGGAGAGGGGCGAGCGAGAGAGGAAAATAATTTGTATAATTCGCATGTCGTTTGTATAATTGGCGGCTACGTTTGTATAATTCACATGTTTTTATATAATTGAGTAATATAAAGTATGGAATTATATAAATATGATAAAACTTGAAATAACGAATTGATACAAACATAAACATATGAACTTTAAACAGTTATACAAAATATATTATACAAATTACATTATATAAATTATATTATACAAATCTGAAAACTACGGGTTTATACAAACTTTAAAAAGTTATACACAAAAAGATTGAATGTATATGGTGACAAAACGGAAAAACCAAAGGAAATCAGCATCATATACAAATATAAATCAAACAAAGAATTGTTAGTTGTGAATCATACAAATATGGCTAATTATACAACTCGAAGTCAGCCCACGTAATAATGGTTAATGTTAGTTGCGAGTGGGAATTATAGCAAACTATAACTATGATGAGTAATTAAGTAGTATAAGTTTGCTAAACCACGTAATTTTCTCATAAAAAGGTAACGACGCAATCATACCGATCGTTACACAATCTTGGCATTGTTACCTAATAATGAATTTATATAATACAATTCAATAGAATTTAAGTGACAATCAAAACTAACATTGTATTTAAACTTACAATATAATACAACGGATAATAACCATCCAAACAAAGGGTAAAAAAACATTATTTTTTAAACAAACTAAAAAGAAAAATATAACAAACAATTGAAACAAAGGTGGTATTTTCTTTCTTTTGGTCTGTACATTTTTTTAACAAATAAAAAAGGTTTTAAGTTTTTCAAAAATTCAAAGACTATTTCTGAAATTTTACCAAAAATATATGTATTTAAGGTCTGTTTTGAGTCTTGGCAAACCTACAAAATATTTGTTCGAGAATTTTTAGCAGAAAAAGACTCAATTTTTTATTTTTTTTTTGATAACCGAGAAATCCGTCTGTGACCCGCCCTTTGGACCAATCACAGCCTTCTAAACTCGGTGAAAAAAAAGACTCAGTTTTTGGGAAAAAAAAAATTCAACCAAAAGTGGAAAATTCTACAACTATCCTAGCTTCAAAATGATGCAAAGAGAATTTGGGAAGTTCAATGAAGAAACAGAGAACTTTTTTACTTTTTTGCAATTTTTTTATTTGTGAATGAGCGCGAACTCTTCACTTTCGATGCCGCACCCGTATCGGATTCACCAAAAATACACTATTTTTGGCGAATTCAACACGCACTTGTTGACATTTTTGAAGAGCCCGAGCAATATAGGTCCACATATAGAGAAGCCAATGGTTAATAAAAGATTCATATAACAACTTCCAAGTAACTTAATGTTGAAGAACAGTTAGGTAATATCTCAATCCACATAGTTTGACAGTTAAACAAGTTTCCTTTATCATTTTCCATTACACTTGGTTTTCAAATTGATGCTTGCTAGATGATAGAAAAAAAAGTACTGAACTTTAGATTTTATTTTTCCAAATGGTGCTACTGAAGTGCCTGAAAAGGTATAATCCCTCCACCTTCATGACCAGAGGCAAAAGTTTTTTCATCTCTTACAAAGAAGGAAAAAATCAAGTCCTCCAAATAGTCCACACTGCAAATTCAAAGAGAAAAACACTTCAAACATCAGTAACAGCAGATTTATGGCTATGTTCTTGCTTTGCAGTAATGTAGAAAGACTAAAATACACTGTCAAAGGAATTGCAGAAGTAGTTATGCTCTAAATCATAAAACAAAGACAGACACTATTCGGGAATAACTTTTTTTACATCGAAAGAAACTTTACAAAAGATTACTCGTCTACCTCCATTGCATGTCAAGAAATGAGAATTCAGTCAGTCTGCATGTATAATCTTCAACCAACATGACAGTACATTTTCTATCCCTTGAACATGGTAACCACTGAACTGTATTTCATCTGTTTTGGGGTTACTACCATTGATAAAGATGACTTTGCATTGGGGTAAAGAAGAAAATCAGAGAGACAAACAGTTTGAAGTTGATATTTCCCAAATGGGCAATGCAACACAATTAAGACTTCAATCAACCTAGCCACAATAGATCAAACACATCTCTGTGAGCTACACATCAGAAATCCTCTTTGAGATTTGATAATGAAACCAGGAGAGAGAACAAGGAAAGAAAGTAAATTAAAATGTTACTCTTTTTAAGCATTAACTGAATTACCAAGATAAAACTCTCAATGAAGCCACCAATTTCCAGGTCGGGCCTTCTAAACTAAAAATAATTCATTTATCTAACTTACATATTTCCCATGAATTATAATCTATTTCTTAACAGATGAAAAGCTGAATTTTCTACAAAAAGAAAAGATTATTGTTAAGCAATTAACAACCCTTGAGCAACAGAAGCTCCATGTAGAACAAATACAACTATAACAAGGCTTAGAAACAGCAATCGGATCTCTCAAACAACAAGATGATCCAGCAGGGCCCAAATGAAAATGAATCAGCATACTGCGTCACACAAAGTTGAAATTTTTGTTCCTGTCAGTAACATAAGATTGTAAGAGATGTTACTGCAGAAACTAATATCAAAATGTATAGCTCCCACGGTGCGTCATTGCAAGGGAACTTCTCAAATTATATTTCCTCTTGTAGTTCAAGGTTTTTCTGCAATCGCAGAACCTACACTAGGGTGACAATTACTTTTACATTACCACGGAAACAACAATGAGGAGAACATTTAGTCCCACTTTAAGAAGTTAAAAAGTTTGACGGCATTTCACGAAAAAAGAAATATAAGTTCCAAGTCTTAAAACAAAATCTATGAAGGGCACATGAAACTGTTTAGCCGTGTCCTATGCAACTTAACAAATAGTTTATACTTTTGACAGGACCACATCTAATGATATCTTGTCACTCAAAGTACTGATAACATTATTAGTTCACGTGCTAACAGCAATCCAGTAACATATAAAGAAAACAATTCTGCTATTAACTTTCATGCAGTCCATAAAACTTAATTTGAATAAGTTCATCAAACAAATTAAGCACAAATGTGCTTCAAAAGCCATCAATTTGAAGCTTACGGACTATGTAAGTGATTCCTAGTGTCTTTTAATCTTGATTTGTTATTTATTCTCATCTTAATTTATTTCTCTCCAGTATGTGCCTAAAATCTCCAACTTTTGTCATAATCATTCTATTTCTTGATTTTATAATTGGACACATCACATTCACTAGTCTTCAAAGTTGGAAACTCGACGCTATTAATAGATATGAAATCATCGAACAACCTCTGAATCCTTTCATGGTTTTATCCTCACTAATCTGCCAACAATCTTATGCCTATCTTCATCCCTTGAAATCAGCGAACAAACTTTGAATCCTTTCATGGTTCTATCCACACTAATCTGCCAACAATCCTATGTCTATCTTCAGCCCTCTAACAATAACAACAACATACATAGTATAAATTTTTTTTTGAAATTAGTAATGTACAACATACACAGTATAATTTCAAAACCACAAGTGGAATTTGAGGAGGATGGTGTGTAGGCAGCCTTACCCCTACCATGCGAAGGTAGAGAGGTTTCTGATAGACCCTCGACTCAAGTAAAGCATATTAAAAAACAAGTATGTAAAGTAAATACAACAACGAAGAAGCAATGCTAAAAACAAAGAAGAAGAGAACAATAGCAACGACAATGATATGATAAATCCTTCTAATACTGAACAAATTCCACTATTCACAATTTGTAAGAACATAAGAAAGCCCCACCAGTTTCTTTGAAGTTGACTAGCTATACAATCATCAAATATGAAAATCGTCCTGGAATAACTATAAATAGATGTATAAGTTAAGTGTTAAACTCTAAAGCAAGTTGAATTTACCTTCAATAGGTTACACTAATCCATACAAATACACAAAGCCAGGGGTCTCCAGAAAACAATGCAAACATCATGTTTCAAAGCATGTATTATCTTTGTTCTTCTATTCATAATTTTGAAGCACAATTGTCATTAATGCCATTTAAAGTCATATTACTTCATTAAAAAATGTCACTCAAAGCCATTTTAAGTGGAATTCTCTAGAGCATAAGTGGAGGATGTATATGTCTGATAATCCGACAATTGGTTAAAAAGTCACATTAACTAGTAACTAGTTCCAAGTGTGTGTCTACCTTCTATGAGTTAAATTTCACATCTTGCATCACAATATGGGTTAATTTTCCTAACTCAACTTATACAATACAAATTTTATTTCTATACATGGTAAGAATTAGGAACCACATCAATAAGTGAAACCACATAAACAGGATCCTGCATTCAATAGCTCATTAATACATTTACCACAAGCAAGAATCAACAGGACTCGGAATTACTAAATCAGTTTTTCCTGTTTTGTTCTATTGCCACACAATTTCTCTAAAAACTGGCAAGCAAAAAGGCCTTTTTTCGACCCATGTGCCTGTTATAGAAGCCCTGTTCTACATGCAAACAAATTTGATCCTCTAATTGCTCAAATTGACATTGGATCTTCAAGCTTACAACCAATTAGCTCCCCTTCAGTCATTGAAACATCAAGATGGACTAAGTTAGTTATGCTCAAAGCATGCAAGGCATTCGGAATAAATGTTGCGGGGTTTGAACATGAAATCTTGGGGATGGTCTTACGTATGGAACAAAGGAGACAGGAGCAGAAGCAACACCAATCATCATCCATCAAAAACAATGTAAAAGGGAAGAAGAAACAATCACTAGAATTGGAGAGATTGAAGTGGGGAATGAACTCGGATGGTAAAAAGAAGGAAACAGGGGGCAGGTATTACAAGGCTTTCTCCGGATGAAGATCAAAATCTTGAGTTGGAATGTGCGGGGGCTCAATGAAGCAGATAAGAGGAGTACAATAAAATCGATGATTCACAAATGGAGGGCTGATATAGTGTGTTTACAAGAAACCAAAATTGAAGACTGGTCACCTCGGAGGATAAGGCAAGTGTGGGGGAACAGATGAGTAGAATGGGCAGCCCTGAATTCTATTGGTAGGAGTGGGGGTATCATTGTGTTGTGGGACAAAAGGCAATGGTCAAGCAGGGGAATTCAACAAGGATGCTACACTATCTCATGTATGCTGGAAAGTACACAAGAGGACTTCAGGTGGTGTTTCACAGGGGTTTATGGATCTCACACAAATCCAGAAAGGGAAGATTTGTGGCATGAACTTGCAGCGATTAGAGGCTTATGGGATGAACAATGGGTAATAGGGGGGGACTTCAATGTTTGTAGATATGAAAGTGAGAGGTTAAATTGCATTAGGAGGTCCAGGGCCATGAAATCATTCTCAAATATCATCCAGGATTCGGGAATAATTGACCTGCCCCTCCAAGGGGCTCATTACACTTGGTCTAGAGGGGGAGATTGTATGCAAGCATCAAGAATAGATAGATTCTTGATATCCTCTGAATGGAATGAAAATTTCAAGGTTATAAAACAGGTTGCTCTCCCAAGAGTTATATCAGACCATAGGCCTTTGCTACTGGAATATGGTGACTGGGAAGTCAAACCATCCTATTTTAAATTTGAGAATATGTGGCTTCAAGCTGAAGGATTTATGGACAAAGGTGAAGAATGGTGGCACAACTACACTATTGGGGGGAGTCCAGATTTTATTCTCACACAAAAACTGAAGAAACTCAAGAAAGACATCACTGACTGGAATAAGGCTACATTTGGGCAGTTGGAAACACGAAAGTCCCAAATATTGGAGGACCTAGCCTTGCTGGAAACTATAGCCGAAAGCAGACTCATGTCGCAAGCTGAGAAGGAGAAGTTAGTAGCGCTAAAACATGAGCTTCAAAAGCTAGCAATAGCAGAAGAAGTGTCTTGGAGGCAAAAATCTAGGTGTTTATGGCTCAAAGAAGGAGACAAGAATACTAAATTTTTCCACACCATAGCAAACTCCAACAGGAGAAACAACTGTATAGATAAATTGCTGATTGATGGAGAAATTAGTGAAGAGAGTGAGGAGATCAAAACAATAATTCTCAGTTTCTACCAAGACATGTACACTGAAAATGAGAATTGGAGGAGGCCCAGAGTAACTTTTGATGGCTTAGCCAGCATATCACTGATAGAGAAAGCTTGGTTAGAAAGACCATTTGAAGAGGAAGAGGTGTGAGCTGCTTTGATGTCTTGTGCACCAGACAAAAGCCCTGGCCCCGATGGATTTACTATGGCATTCTACCAAAAAGCATGGGAGATAATCAAACCTGACTTAATGGGGACTATCTCTCATTTCCATCAACAATGTCACATGGTAAAGTCTTGCAATGCCTCTTTTATTGCCCTTATCCCAAAGAAGAAAGGTGCAATAGAACTCAAAGACTTCAGACCCATAAGTCTCATAGGTAGTGTCTACAAGATTATTGCTGAAGTCCTAGTGGAGAGGCTGAAGACAGTCATGGGGAAGCTAGTATCAGGAGAACAAAATGCTTTCTTAAAAAACAGGTAGATTACTGATGCAGCCTTAGTCGCAAACGAACTTCTAGATGGAAGGCTAAAAAGTGGAGTTCCTGGAATCCTATGCAAGTTAGATGTGGAAAAAGCTTTTGACAAACTCAATTGGTCTTATTTATTATCAATGCTGAGGAGTATGGGATTTGGCGAAAGGTGGATCAGGTGGATCAAATTCAGCATTACTACTGTCAAAATATTCAATTCTAGTGAATAGATCCCCAGTTGGTTTCTTCTCCCCTCAAAAAGGGATTAGACAGGGAGACCCCCTCTCTCCATTCTTATTTATCCTTGCCATGGAAGGTCTCAGCAAGATGTTAGCAAAGGCAAAGCAAATGCAATGGATTGAAGGATTCAGGGTGGGCAACAACGAAGATAATTATATCTCTGTGACTCACTTGCTCTGCGCGGATGATACTCTTACTTGTTGTGGGACAGAGAAGTCTCAGGTGCGATATCTCAACCTAACACTACTTCTATTTGAAGCAATCTCCGGGCTACATATTAATATGCAGAAGAGTAAGATCAACCAAGTAAAGGTCCCTAATTTGGAAGAACTGGCTGGCATCATGGGTTGTAGCATTGACACATTTCCAACAAAATACCTAGGTCTCCCTTTGGGAGCAAAGTTCAAAGATGCAGGAGTTTGGAATGAAGTTATCAAGAAAATGGAGAGAAGGTTGGCAACTTGGAAGATGCAATATCTCTCAATGGGAGGCAGGTTGACTCTTATCAACAGTGTACTTGACAGTATCCCCACATATATTATGTCAATGCTCCCAATACCATCCAAGGTACAGAATCAAATTGACAAAATCAGAAGATCTTTTTTGTGGAAGGGGAGCTATGAGGGCCATAAGTTCCATCTTGTGAAGTGGGAAAATGTAATTATGCCAAAGCAGCACGGAGGTTTGGGAATCAGAGATTTAAAGAAGCACAACAAGAGCCTGTTAATGAAATGGTGGTGGAGATATGCTCAAGAACCAACATGTATCTGGAAAGAGGTAGTGAATGCCAAATATGGGAGGCAAGACAAATGGAGCACCAAGCAGAACAATGATCCTTATGGAGTTGGACCTTGGAAGTACATTAACCAGCTAAGGGAGGAGTTCTTCCAAGAGGTGTCCTTCAGGATTGGAAATGGGAACTCAGTTAAATTTTGGAAAGACAGGTGGCTTAACAATCAACCTCTCAATGTCCCCCACCCTGCTATTTACAGGATAGCCTCTGACACAGACTCTTCAGTGGCGCAAAACAGAGAAGGTGGAATATGGGCACCACGCTTTAGAAGGAATTTTCAAGACTGGGAGCTTAATGAGCTCTTTGATTTTTTCAGAATTCTAGAAGGAGCCTCAATGACCCCTCACTTGCCTGATAGCTTAAAATGGGGCAACTCTGAAAAAGGAATATACACAGTGAAGAAAGGATACCATAAGTTGTGCTCCAAATGCCATGATAGACCAGTGGTTTGAGCTTGGGACTTCCATGTTGGAGCAAAGGGTTTGCCTTCTGGGTCGAGCTCGTCGCACCAGGCTTGCCTAGTGCGGGTTACCTCTCCTATGTGGTTTGCGAGCTATTGCATAGGAGCGGGGGTTTTACCCTATGCGCACCCAAAGGGTAGCGGCTGCGGGTTTCTTTTGTCATCAAAAAAAAAAAAAAAAATGCCATGATAGACCAGTGGCCATGAAAACTGATTTGGAAGACTAGACTACCCCCTAAAATCAAGTGTTTCACCTGGACTACCCTCAATAATGCTATCCTAACCCTGGACAATCTAAATAAGAGGAAACTTCAGCTAGTAAACAGATGTTTCATGTGCCTCAATAGCCTGGAATCAGTGAATCATTTGTTTCTGCACTGTCCAGTGGCAACAGCTCTTTGGAATATGTTTATTTCAATTGCTGGTATCAACTGGATTCTCCCGCAAAGTGTCAGAGAAGTAGTTGGAAGTTGGAGTCTTAGAGAAGTTGATTGCCCCATCAAGAAGACCTGGCAGATGATTCCATCATGTATTTTTGGTGTATTTGGAAGGAAGGAATCTCAGATGTTTGATGGTATCTCAACTCCAATTAGCAGTTTGAAATCCTTTTGCCTTGTTAGTCTCTTCCATTGGAGCAACTTATCCCTTGTAAATGATACATTACCCCTCTTAGATTTCATTAGCTCCCTCAATGTGGCTTAGCGACTATTCTTTTGCTTGTGGTTAACTCCCTGATTAAATAGGTGTTTTTGTTCTCAGGAGTTAACCATATTTTTGTGTATGTAATTTGCATCTTCTTGATGCTTTTCTAATACAACATCTTACTTCATCAAAAAAATAAGTTGTAACTATCTAAATGTATAACATAGTTGAGCAGTCTAAAAAGGACACATAACAAAATCTAATCTCCAACCCCCTCCATCACAGATTAAAAAACATACTAAACTTCATCAATAACTTATTAATATATTATCTACCACAAGCAGAAATCAACAGGATTTCAGAATTACTGAATTAGCTTTTCTTATTTTGTTTTTTTGCCACATAATAAGTTGTACTATCTAAATGTATAACACGATCGAGCAGTCCAAAAAGGACGCACAATAACATCTAAGCTCTAACCCCTTTCCACCACAAATTAATAATTATACTAAAGCAGTACTAATTGTTGGCTTACAGGAAAAATTCAATCATCCAATTGCCTTATACTTTAAGCAGTTGCAACTTGTTAGAAAACGCAATGGCAATCCAATCATGATGCGCAGCAGACCACTGAATTTGATTAATCTCAGCTCCAGCAGAGTACCTTGCCATATGATCAATCCCATTAGTCCCTACAACAGTTGGCAACTCCCAAATGAGCGCCTGCCCGTCATCCCCAGCCGAACAAATATGTCGACGACTCTGTGGAGCCCAAGCAATAGCATTAACACTCGCCTGATGCCTAGCCAACTCTGCCACAGGCCTTTCTCGAGACCTAATATCTAAAATCATAATCTTGTTGCAATCCATCGACATAGTAGCCAGATATCTTAAGTCGTGCTTGTTCCAAGCCAACCTCAACAACTGAGTGCCCGGTTCTGGACTCTCATAAATAATTGTAGTATGTTCCTTACGCCTCAAATCAAAAATCCTAACTGACCCATCAGCAGAAGCGGAGGCAAAAACCCCAGCTTCAGCCCAAGCTATATCGTAAACCTCTTTATCATGGGCTATAATTTGAGCTTCGATAGCCCCTATTTCAACATCCCAGATGGTACAAGTAGTGTCTATACTGGAAGTACCAATTCTTCTGGGTTCCACCTCATTCCAATCAAAAGACGTCAAAGGGGCAACGTATTCACTAGTTTTATTCTTACTGAGAGTGAAAAGGGGTTCAATAGAAGTATCACCAACTTCCCAAAGACGGAGGTAGTCACTGCAGGAGGCAAGAATGTCATTCGATTTGAGAGAATCAAAAGGATTAGGATGGAACATGAGCTTCGTAGGTGGATAAGGGTGTTCGAAACAGAGATTCGGAATAGGCTTAAGGGTTAGGTTATCTGCATCGAAAGAGAGAATATCAACACAATTGTTGATCTCTTCGATAAAGCTACCGATGGCAATTCGAGGGTGGCGATTGGGGAGGGAAGAAGTGAAGGAGGAAAAAGCCATGGCGTAGATGGGGTAGGATGAGTCATATGTAACGGAATTTCCAGATCGGAGATGAAATTTTTTACCGGATTTTTTTTCCATTTTTAGCGAGGATGAATTGGGGAAAATTGACATTGAAGTTATGTATGTGGGTGTGTTATGGGTTTGGTAATTAATTGGAATTGGAAAACATGTTGTTGAGCTTACATGGTGTTCACTGGCAGTTCGCTCAAAGGGAAGAAAAGTTAGTGGTTGGCAGGATTGACTAGCTTTCGCTTCCACAAGACGAAGACAGATTAGTCTTTGGTGGCTATGGATGATTTGATCTGGAAGCTTCAGTTCTTATTTGGGCCCCCAGAAGAGTTAATACTTTATTGGGCCATTTGGTTTAGGTCCAATTTCATTAGTATCACTATTTAATTTTCATTTCGAGAATCGCCTCTTTTCAAAAAGTGACATCACACAAAATCAAGACATGAAAAATAAGAAACAGAGCTGCTACTGCAGAAATATAATATAATGCCCAACAATATGGTCCAAGATGGCTCAAACAAAAATGCATCAATAGATTGCATCAAACAAAGTTGAAATTTTCATTCCGACCAGTTATATAAGATTGTCAGAGTTGCAACTGCAGAAACTAATATCCAAATGTAGACTGAGCAACTTCAGTTTATTACCAACCTCGGGTTCAACAACTGTTGGGTAAAGCCTAAACCTTACTCTTTTCCTTCTATCGGAACTGGTAACAGATTTCTAGATCCGATGCAACTAGCATAAGAAAAAATGAAAGTATGAAAGTCTCTATGCTCCATCGAATAAGCTCCCACACTGCATAATTGCAAAGGAACTCCTATAGTTACATTTTCTCCTGTAGTTCAAGATTTTCCTGTAATCGCAGAACTTAAACTACGGTAACAATTACTTTTACAGCACCATGGAAACACCTGTAAGGAGAATATCTAGCCAATTTAAGAAGACAAAAAGTTCGACAACATTTCACGAAAAAAAATATCAGTTTCAAATCTTAAAACAGAATATATGAAGAGCGCGTGAAACTGTTTAACGACGTCCTATACAACTTAACGAATAGTTTTCACTTTCCACAGGACACTCCATGATATCATTACTAGATACCACTAGACCACGTCTAATGGTATCTTGTCACTCAAAGAACACTCCATGATAACATTACTAGTTCACGTGCTAGCAGAAACCCAGCAACATATAAAGAAAACAATCCTGCTACTAACTTTGGTGCAGTCCATAAAACTTCATTTGAATAAGTTCAACAAACAAATTAATCATAAATGTGCTTCAAAGCCATTAATTTAAAGCATGTCGACTATGTAAGTGATTCCTTGAATTTTTAACATGTATTTATTTATTTATTCTCATCTTAATTTATTTTCTCTCCGGTATGTGCCTAAAATATCCCACGTTTGTCATAATCATTCTATTTCTTGATTTTATAAATGAACACATCACATTCTCCAGTCTCCAGATTCGGAAACTCAATATGTAACTTGGCATGTCAAACTCAATGCTATTTATATATGTTGCTCGGACTCTTCAAAAATGTCGACGGGTGCGTGTTGGATCCTCCAGAAACAATGTATTTTTTGAAGGATCCGACACGGGTGCAGCAACATTTTTGGACAGTCCAAGCAACTTAGCTATTAATAGATATGACATTAGCAAAAAAACCTTTGAATCTTTTCATGGTTATTCCCACACTAATCTGCCAACAATCCTATGCCCATCATCAGCCCTCTAACAATAATAATGACATACCCATTGTAATTCTACAACCACAAGTGGGATCTGAGGAGGGTGGTGTGTCCCCTACTTTGTGAAGGTAGAGATGTTATTTCTTGTAGACCCTTGGCTCAAGTAAAACATATAAAAAACAAGTGAAAATACAATAGCAAAGAAGCCACAAAGAAGAGAACAATAGCAACGACAAATAATACGATAACAATGTAAACAACACGGAATACTAAAATCTTCATCCCTTTAATACTGATCCAATTCCACTATTCACAATTTGCAGCAATATAAGAAAGCCCCACCAGTTCCTTTGAAGCTGACTAGCTATACATTTATCAAATACGTAAATTGTCTTAGAATAACTATAAATAGAAGTATAAGTTGAGGGTCAAAATCTAAAGCATGTTGAATTTGCCACCAATAGGTTACCACTGATCCATACAAGTATACAAAGTCAGGGGTCTCTGGAAAACAATGCTGACATTATGTTCCAAAGCATGTACAACTGTTGTTCTTCTATTCATCATGTGGAAGCACAATTGACATTAATATCATTTAAAGCCATATAACTTAGTAAAAAAATATTGCATAAGCAAAGGCTATATATGTCTGATGATCTAACACAATTGGCTAATAAGTTGCATTAACTAGTAGCTAGTTCAACCATGCTTCAAGTTTCTGCGAATTAAATTTCACATCTTTCATTACAGTATAAGTTAATTTCCCAAACTCAATAGCTACAATATAAATTTTATTTCTATACGTGATAAGAATTAGGAACTACATCAATAAGTCTACATAAACAGGCATCCTTCATTCAATAACTCATTAATACATTATCTACTACAAGTAAGAATTAGCAGGATTTCAAAATTCCTGAATTAGCTTTCCTGTTTTGTTCTATGGTCACACACAATAAGTTGTAACTATCTAAATGTATAACAGGGTTGAGAAGTCCAAAAAGGACACACAATAACATCTAAGCACCACCCCCCCTCCGCCACGTATTAAAAGAGATACTAAAGCAGTAGTAGTTGTTGTCTTACAGGAAAAATTCAATCATCCAATCGCCTTATACTTTAAGCAGCTGCAACTTGTTAGAAAACGCAATGGCAATCCAATCACGTTGTGCAGCAGACCACTGAATTTGATTAATTTCAGCTCCAGCAGAGTACATTGACATAGGATCAATCCCATTAGGCCCTGCAACAGTTGGCAACTCCCAAATGAGCGCCTGCCCATCATCCCCAGCAGAACAAATATGCCTACAACTCTGTGGAGCCCAAGCAATAGCATTCACACTCGCCTGATGCCTTTCCAACTCTGCCACGGGCATTGCTGGAGACCTAATATCTAAAATCACAATCTTATTGTTATCCATCAATATGGTAGCCATGTATCTCAAATCTTGCTTGTTCCAAGCCAACCTCAACAACGGAGTGTCCGGTTTTGGACTCTCATAAATAATTGTCGAATGTTCCTTATCCCTCAAATCAAAAATCCTAACTGACCCATCAGCAGAAACCGAAGCAAAAACCCCAGCTTCACCCCAAGCTATATCGTAAACCTCTTTGTCATGAGCTATCAGTTGGGTTTCCACAACCCCTTTCTCAACATCCCAGATGGTACAAGTAGTGTCTATACTAGAAGTACCAATTCTTCTCGGCTCCACCTCATTCCAATCAAAAGACGTCAAAGGGGCACAATATTCACTAGTTTTATTGTTACTGAGAGTGAAAAGGGGTTCAATAGAAGTTTCACGAACATCCCATAGACGGAGGTAATCACCAGAAGAAGCAAGAATATCATTAGTCTTGAGAGAAGCAGAAGGATTAGGATGGAACATGAGCTTCGTAGGCGGATAAGGGTGTTCAAAAGAGAGATTGGGAACAGGCTTAAGGGTTAGGGTATCTTCATCGAAGGACAGAATATCGACACGATTGTTGAACTCTTCGATAAAGCTCCCGACGGCAAGTCGACGGCGGCGGCTAGGGAGGGAAGAAGTGAAGGATGAAAAAGCCATAGCGTAGATAGGATAGGAGGAGTCATATGTAACGGAATTTTCAGACCGGAGATGCGATTCTTGACTTGAATTCTCCATATTTAGTGGAGATGAATGAAATGGAAGTTGAGTTAAAGTTTGTGCATTATGGGTTTGGTGACGAAATTGGAATTGGAAAACATGGTGTTGACCGGCGGTTCACTGTAAGAGAAGACAAAATTAGCGGTTGGTAGGATTGACCGGTCGTTTCCACAAGACCAAGGCAGAGTCATCTTTGGTGGCTATGGACGATTGGATCGGGAAGCTTCACTTCTTGTTCAGACCCCAGAAGAGCGTTTGGTCACATGGATCTGGAGCTTTACGCCCACAGTATTTTAGGAATTTTAAATCTCTTTGCTAAAGGGTATTTTTGGAATTCTAAACATACGTGATTGCGTTCCAAAGTTTTATGTCACTTTAAAGGCTAGAAGATGTTGATAATTTGATCCTACATCAATAAAATCAAACTTTATCAAATAAACGGAACTCAATATGAATAAAATATAGATAACGTCATTAGATATTTATTCAAATAAACATCTGTAGACCCAAAATAAAAAAATGACATGATCAAAAGAAATACATAAGGCCATTTTTATATAATTTGTTGCGTCTAGGGAACTTTGCATCTAGTTTAATTTATAGGCAGGCAGTGTAAGCTTGAGATAAAATAGATTCTCCTTTAATTTGCTGCTTCATATTGTTATAAAATATTATGATATGAATGTCCACTACACCAAAAAGTTACTATGACTAATTATCTCAATACTTCCATCCATTATAAAGATAACCTCCACCCTTATGACCATTATTCTTGTAACATTTCACCTCCATAACATCCTGTCATCCTCCATTATATTCATGTTTATGACTAATCTTTTGTATGTCTCTATGTTACATTATAAATAGAGGCATAAGGATTCATATTGTATGTACTTGAATACTTTGAAGAATAAGAAATACTCTCATATCTTGTCTCTATATTTCTATTGTTTTCATCTTCTATATTTCTTGTCGTATTTTACTTTAGTTTTACAACACCTATATCTTTCTCGGTCATTATTATGTAAAGCATTAAAAAGGGTTAGTCACTGACGATGCATCACAGATATTTCAACTGTAACAAATATATAACAAAAGACAAGTGAATACAATTTTACATCAATTTTCTGCTCTTTCTTTAATGGATGATCACTAATTTCCTTAATTTATAATTAATCAGCCTAAAATGGGCTATACATGCAATTCACCCTCTTTTAAGAGGCTAGAGCCCAATCATGGCCTCAGATCACAAAGGGCTAGTAATGTAAGGGCCAACCCCAGAAGCCCAACATGAATTAATGGGGCCCGATAAATGCTGACTGAGAGCAGCCCGTTTCATAGTTCAAAGGTTCAAACGCCAACGAATTGAATCCAATTCTGACTAAAAGATCAAGGGAAAAAGGCCTGGTCTACCCCTCAACTTTGTCATTTAGAGCTGATATGCCCCTCGTTATGAATGATTCATATATATATACAAACGGCTTACATATACCCCAACCGTTACAAGATGAGCTCACATATGCCCTTCATTTAACGGAAGTGAAAAAATTAGTTTTAAATTAATATTTTTGACTTTTAATTTTTTTTAAAATCATGTAGAGGTATATTTCTATTATATAGAAGAGCCATGAGAAGGACGACCAATGACATTTTAGTAATTTTAACATCATTTAAGGGTAAAATAATGTAATTGTATAATTAATGGTCAAAATGAAAATCTAGAAGAATCCATACATGTCTTAACTTTTGTTATGGGCCTGTATGGATATTATTGTAATTTTGTTAAAATAAAGAGTTTCTATTAGTTAACTTATTACAAACAACAATACCAAGCTTGTTTTGACATATTTTAGAAAGAAAACTTTGAACTAATTAAAATAAAATGTGTTTGAATAGTTAATATTTTGTTCTTTGAAATACTTTAAAGGATTATTGCGTAAAAATATTTTTAATATTATGTTACATAATATGACCACTAAATTCGTATCTTGATTATTAAAATAGTCTTTAAAATTGACGTATCAATATTTTTTTAATTAATTTGAAGAAAATATCAAATTTCGTGACTAAAAGAATGAACAATGTTTGACTATCAAGAAATTAATAATTCGATAATGTATTCATCGAAAGATTAAAAAAATATAAAAATTTTCATTTCTATATTTTTTTAATATCAAATATAATAAACTATTTAACAAAGAAAATTTGACAAGGAAAACGTTTATTCAAATTCTAATGAATATTAAAATTCAAACTAAAGAAAAATGAGTAGTTAAAAAATAAAGAAGAACAACAAAAGAAAATGTCAATAGAAAAAGACTTTGTTGAGAAATACAGAGGAAGAAAAAAAACTAAAAATAAATGAATTAGGAAAAAACAACCTGAAAAAAAAAGTATATTGGTTATTTTGTGGGGGTAAGATTTAGGGTTTTCTTTACTACATGATATTAAGAGTGTAGTATCAAAAAAATTAATTAATGTAATTTAGAATATATTATTACGATAATTGCTATTGTATATAGAAATAAACTTTCTTTCATGATTGTTTTTATTTTTGTGGAGTTACAAATTAATTTTTTAATAAATACTTTCAATATTTAGAATATAACATTACGATAATTGTTATTGTATATAGAAATAAAGTTGCTTTCTTGATTGATTTTATTGTTGTGAAGTTAGAAATCAATTTTTTTTAAGTATTTCTATTTATCGAAACCAATAATAAAATGTATCACAAAATTCATCGACAAAGCCAATTACAACCACAGTATACTTAAGTTGAAGCAATAGAGATTTGAAAGACTTTAAATCAATCTTTACGAATTGATTGATCAAATTATCAGATGCAAAGCTTATTTATGGTGCAAATATTACAAAACGAAGATAATAACATTGTGGAAAATAGATACCACTTGCGAATATATTTGAAGATCAATGAAATTTTTCAAAGATATCAACATTTTATATATTCCTCAAACACGAAATGTTTTAACTCATAATCTAACACAATTCTCTATTTTCTTGCTGCATATAATTTTTTAGAATTCAACTTTGTCAATTTAGGTTGTAAACGACACATTTATGTCGTATGACCATTTGAAATAGATTATAAAGTAATATATTGAAGTTGTTTACTAAAAAAATAAATTGTATAAAGTATAGAAATCTCATATCTTTGAAGGCTAATTACATCATATCCGGGAAGTTTCCTCAATTACAAAAATTTCAAAATTTTCATTTCTCTCGAATACATTCCTTGGTTGTCCAATACATTGGAAATGACACATTACTTCGGGGGAGGGCTGTATTCGAGAGAGGATAGGTATGTATCCGAGAGGGAATAGATGTATCCGAGAGGAAATAGGAATGTATCCGAGAGAGGATTATAATATCTTAAGTTGTGAATTTATGTAATTTTTCCAACAAAATATGTGAAATTATATTGGGCCCGTATCATGGGCCTTAAATTATCTAGTATATATATATATACTAGATAATGTTGCCCGTGCTATGCACGGGCCCAATAATATAAATGGTATATTTTGGGGCTAATAACTGAGTTTTTGAAGCTATTGTTTGCGTAGATAAAGGAATAAGTTTTTTTATCACAAACATGTACTTTCTTTGACGCTATTTAAGGCATAATAAGACTACCCACATACAACATTTTTGAAATATTTTATGTTGTCAATTATCATGATTTATAGTATTTT